GTTTGGTTGTTGGTTCGTTATGGAAACGCCCGCCAATGAACCGATTGAGCTGAAACTTTGCACACATATGCATTTGACCCCGGAGCTGGTTTAGCGCTACTTTTTGCTGCAATTCGCTGGGCCATTCTATTGATTTATTGATTTTTGGCATAAGAATGAGTTCTCAACATGGGCTAACAAAGCAATTGAATGATTTTGTGTGAAAAATAGCAGTAGAGTTCATTCGATTCTCGCGGTAGGAAGGATGCGGTGATTCAAGACGAGCCTTCAGCGGGTAAGTGACTTTGACACAGAAACCCCTGTACGCAGCATAACGACTAGATCGGAAGGAGAGGAAGATGGAGGGGGGGGCTGGAGCAAGGGTCGGCCGACGTGGCCCGGGCTAGACCGGGAAAACCAGCTAGTGTTTAATACAATCCAATATCATGAAACCCATTCATAAACACTCTGAAACATGGGTATACTTCATTTTGAATATCATTAAAACCGTAATGTAGATGTATATAACGGCGCTATATTATAAGTTTTTTATATCAGAAGTATATTCATTTGAAGGTAAGTAATTCCATTAATATTATAAATTCAATATTAGGTTGTCCGGAAATTAATGTCCGTTGTTGAATTTCAACCTCAATAATTCATGAATTTCTCGTTTCCGAATAGGTTGCAAGGTACCATTCGGTAGAGCAAAGCAAGCTCTACAAAAAGGCGGTCTTGCAAGAGCTTTCATCTACCTCGAGTTCCGAGCCAAAAACTAAAATATCCAACTGCTTAAGAAATCGAGAAAAACCGTAAGTCAGTTCAAAAAAATCCTAGAAAGAATTCTAACTTGTTTACGCAAACACTATCCACATAAGAAATCTATATACGCCGTTGCAATCCTTTTTTATCTTTTGGAAATCAAGAAAACGGAAATCTTCGTGCATTTTTCAAAGTGATGCTGTGCAGTACCCACGTGAGTAGCTGTGTACTACAAAGTTGCAGAAGTACAAACGTAAATTTTCAGCTCTCTACAAGCTTTAGTTCTCGAGAAATATCGAATATGGCTTCCCCTAGTCAGGTGGTCCAAGCCAAAATCCAAACTTCTAGATATGAAAGCTGAAAATTGTACTTCTACAGGCTTGTAGTACACAACTATCCCTAAAAAGCGTCAGTAAAAAGCCTATAACACAAGTTTTCACATTTTTCTGAAAAATTTTTAAACGGCAGCTTTTTCCACAGTGACACCATATGTTCCAAGTTTCTACCGTAATCCTACAGCAATGAAGAGCGATCGGTGATTCGCTCTACACTGTAAATCTAAGTTGAAGCCAGCTCTACAAAATGGCGCTTAAATCTTTTCGAAAGACCTTATAATAAGAGAGTTATTAACAATCAAACAGTGGATACATTTTTTGGGACACCCTGTAGATGTCTTACGTGGATAGAGTTTACGTGAGCAAGTTATTTGTGGTTTTTTTATGAACTGAGTTACGATTTTTCTCAATTTTTCGTGGAGCTGGATCATTTTAGTTCTTGGCTCGAAACCCAAGGTTAATGAGAGCTGTTGCGAAAGCAAGTAGCCACTCTTGTAGAGCTTGCTTTGCTTTATCGAATGCTAGCTTGCAAGCTATTCAGAAATGAGAAGTTATGACTTATTGAGGTTGAAATTCAAAACGGACATTAATTTTCGGACAACCTAATATAATAAATCAAAACTAGCTGCCGTCCCCGGCCTCTCCCGGGCCCACGGCAGAAAATTTCCAAATCGTTTATGGCCTACCATTCCTCCTTTTCCTTCAATTTATATCTTCTCTACTTTTCGTGCCTCAGCTCCGTGTTCGAAATGCAGGCTTCTGTGGTATCCGTGGTAGAGTTGCCATCCTTCTTGACCGCATCGCTTCGTAGCACAGCATCCTCCTCACCGCAAAATGTAAATGATCTTCACAGCCCCTCATGTGATCATATTGCCCTTTGTAAGTGCATTAGTTCTCGAAAAATGCTAATGTTTAGGGCAAAAACGGTAAAAAATTATGAGACAGCCTAATACATGTGTCTTATCTCGAAACGCGATTCTAAGCTACATCCCTTGCCAAATTGACCAAAGTTTTTCTGTCAAGAAAGCAAGAAAATTGCATCTAAGAGTTTAGGCCTTCGCACTTTTTTATTAAGACATAACTACAGTCAGACAATCGTTTCCCACGGAAAGCAGCTTTTGAACCAGCATCCAAAGGCGTATACATCGATATATACTTTCTTATATGCAGGGCTCGACAAAGGTAGCTTACAAGCAAGCTGGATATCGTTTTTGGAACAAAAAACAAAGGGGATTCGTTGCCCTAAAGGCAAAAAACTGCGACTTTTTTGGCCGTTTGGATAGATATTGTGGTCTATGGTCAGAGGGGACTTCGTAAAGTCTCGCAAAAGTCAAGAGGACTTCGTTTTTGTATTTTCAACTAACCACTTCTTGCCGAGCCCTGATTACATGGCCACGGTCACCAAGCATCCCCCCATTTCAGTCGTAACAGCGTTTGCAATAGTGCAGGTGTCGCAAGAAGATGTTCACACTCCTTAATCCTTGGGGCTTAACGTCTATGATTCTAACGGAGTCTTTTAGGCTTGCATGTTCTAAACTTCTTCTAATCGCTTTGCTGAAATCCTCAGATATGAATGGTCATGGTCTGCGAGATAAGCATTGGACTGCGCAATTTGTCTGGCAAGATTCAACGATGTAGCGCGTTCCTGATCGAAGGAAACTGCCTTGGAGTCTTAAACATATTATAAATTATCGACTTTTTTGTGCTCCAAGGATGATAGTGAACTAATATATTTTTGCTGCTTGGCTTTCGAAACCACTTGGTCTTGTGTGATCCATCACGCAGTTGCACTTGTTCGTTAGGACAAGGCAGCTAGTTTTTGCAGAACTATGGTGTTCGTTCAGTATCTCGTAGACCACTTCCATGGCCGCTTCATTCGAAACATTTTTATACAACGAAGTGCCATCGAATGATTCGATGGCGCATTCTTTATCTAGCGGTGCCTTACTGGCTTGCTCAAGGAACATGCTAGTATTTGTTAGGTGAATAGGAGTAAATCGAAGCAATTGCGTGAGGATCATGTTCAGCAGCCAAGATATTCTATCACTGGGATTTCTACAGCTGCTTACAACAGGCCTTATTTTGAACTCTGCAGGTCCAAAAAAGGGATATTACTAGCAGTGAGCTCGCGCGTTTTGATGAGCACGTAAAGGACAGGACATTTGGGCAGATCGTTTCTCAGATGCGATATCAACTTTTTTGGTAAACCTACATGCAGTATCTGTCCATAGTCTGTTCAAGCCGCGACACTGTTTTGCAAATTCGTCCTCGGAGGAAGCCTGGTGCAATGTCTCATCATTCAAGTAATGTCAAATACTCTCTAACTGATTCAATATTTGTGAGCATTTGATTTTTTCAACTAAAATGACTTCCTCTGTATTGCAGTTGCTAAATATTTCCAAGATGCGGACATGTTAAATTTCTAGCATTGAATTTGTCCCACACATATGATACCCATATCTGCCGTATCCTCAATACACGAAAATACCGTCAGTTGCAGAGACCATCTGAAGTGAGATGTACATGGTATAAACGCCTCTTAAAATATTAGGTCGGTCCGAAAATGTGTTAGCACCATTTTAAGAAATTTATAGCTTCTTACGCTTCAAAGCTTTTGCTTTCCCGAAAATTTGAACTCGTCTGAAAAAGATAATCATACGTTTTACAAAAGCATTTGAGGTACTTTCTAACTCGCAAACACAGCAGTGATAGATTACGAATAGAATTTGTAAGATTGCCAGAAATGTGAACCAGGGCCGGGACAAAGGTAACAAATAGTCCTCTGTGAAGCGATTACGCCTATGGCGCATTGATTTAACGATTTTCCCTTTACATTAACTGCGCAGGCTATTTGATTAAAATCCGTTCTGAAAAGCTAAAACTTGTTTGTTCTTTGGAATCTACCAAAAGGGGGAGGAAAAGGTGAAGAAGAAGTCGCTCCAGTGATCACTCAAGTGTCAGACTTCTTACACTGCATACAAGGACTTTTGTACCCTGCAAGCTCTAAAAGTATTTACCTCAACTCTGCATGAAGCAAAGCTGCATTGCTCACTTTCAGATAATCGCCGGGGCAGGCGGCCGCACGATTTATGGGCATGCGGGGACCGGTAAGATACTTCGCTGATTTATTGCGGTCCGCTTGCAATATATGGAGGAATGTTGGCGAAAATTCAGAAGAATTTTCGGAGAACAATCGCTGCCTTTTCATGAACTAGTTGCGGCGCAGTGGCTGGGACTTTCTGCGAGAATATACAAACTGTTGAGAGCCGCACGGTCCTTTGTGAAGGACCGCATAGAGCGTAAGTGCTTTCCGCTGAAAGAAAGTACCCCAACTCGGGTAATTAGAACATCGGTGACACCTCTGCCATGTAGAGTGTTACCTTCCTCGGGGCCGAAACTGCTCAACAAGAGTCAGAGCGCTCGCTGAAAATTTGGCCGGCGCTTGCTGAAAGGAATAACTTGACAACTTGCAGAAAATTCTGTATTGCTGCCTGCTGGCAGAACATACGGTCTCCCCTTTCAAGAAGCGGAGGAGACCCAAGGTGTTCCTCTTACGCACCCAAGCTTGACTCAAGTGCCAGCTACATCCCTCAACAGAACACCTTGGGAAAACCTACGCTGCTGCTGTTATGGCCGCCTTAAAGAGGGAGGATTTGCCTTGTCAAAGTATCAGCTGAATTCAGTAGAACGTACCAGTTCGAAGTCTACAACAAATTTCAATTGCGGCTCTCCTGATCACGGCATGGCAGCGTTGATATTCTCCTTCAGCTTTTCGAATACTACTCTATAGTCTTCCTCCCTCTTCCTTGTCATGATGGCGAACATCAATAGCATTTCGAAGCCTCCATTACATACTCCATGGACGGTATAGACTTGCCCTTCTTCCATCCGAATTCCACTGCCTGTTCAGCTCCTGAGATTTAGCTAATGGATTCCATCTCCAATAAGTGTTGAGAGACCATTGTCAACAGCTAACTGAAATCGTATATTATGGGTGTAGTCATTTTCAGCTTGTTGACTTGCCTGAACTATGTTCCTCGCTATGTATATGTGCAGGGTACTTTCGTGCAGCTGCAGGAACAAGCTTCCGTCAGATAGGTAACGTTCATCAGGAACGTTGTCCATGTTCACGTCCGAGATATTGCTTTTCACTGCTTTCCAGTAAGCGGTTCTTCTCGACTCGTACCCATCTCTGACAAAGTGCATTAGAACTTTGACTTGTCTCTGCGCATCTGAACAACCAGTCAATCAACTGCTAAAGTGAGATAGCAATTCAACCAAATACCTTCTTAGTCCGCTTCTTCTATTTTATCCACCACCTTCAGCCAGTGCTTGATTGTGGGAGTTAGTGAAGCTTGCTTGTTGCCACGTAGTTCGTGGAAGGTCTAAACTCGTCTTTGTTTTCGGATTATATTCGTATATATTCCTCTCACTTTGAAGGATATCCTGTCGGCTTTATCTTTGGCTCTGTCTTTCGGCAAGCAGACATGCTGTAACATGGCAGGATAATCCAGAAAGTCGACCATTCACAAAAATGAACTACTTGTTCAAGCGAACTAGACAGATTTCAGAGCTCATCAGTACTGAAGTGTAATTCTTCATTTTCGCGCACTCAACACATTAGTACTTGAATGTGTTTTCCAGTTCTTTTGTGGTACATGAATACATAAACACGAGGACTGCCAGGAATTTCGTAGAGGAGCACTTTGTGCCTTCCTTTCTGACTAGTTTCTCTTATGCCCGCATAGCGGGTACTCTCTCTTGGAGCAGCAATAGGAAGCTCAGGCAGTGCTGTTGATGGCGAACTAGGTTCCTCAGGTTCCTCCACATAGTAAGTTTCATGTGTTGTTGCAGTAAAATCGGCCTCAAATTCACGTTCTCACAGTTATATTGTATCTGAAGCTATGAAGTAAAGCGACTTACCTTTGAATTCGCTTGTTCAGCGTAAAGGTTCTGATGCGTAGTTGCAAACCTTCGGTCTAAAAACGCACATGAGGGCATGTTTACAACGGTATAATTCACACCTGTAGGTTTTGCTTACTCAATGGTGTTGGAATACAATACACTGTGTTTGAATTGAAAACCTCTGTTGGTGGCGTTGCAGAAGACATTACATACTGCTTGAATTGAATCATCACTGGTTTTAAATTTGTCATTATTCAAGCCAACCTCAGGCCACCATTGAAAGTTGTAAAGTTAGCTAGGATTAGGGTAAGTAGTATACATCATGCCATTCGGCTGAGCTTGGTACAGAGCTGGAGGGAAATAGTTGAACGAGTTGCTGAAGCATTGAAATTCTGGCTAAACAGGGTCTCAAGGTGAAAATTTTGTCAAAATGAGGAAAAAAATGAAAAAAGAAAGGGAAAAGTAAGCAAGAGCGCGGTACCTGATAGTAAGACATGTTGCGTTGCGAGTACCTCGCATTTCACCTTTTTATAGTCTACAAGGCTGTTCTTTTTGCCTATGGACTATGTTATGGGCTACATATTAGCCGTCGGCTTTAACCCTTCAGTTCTTACCTTATTAGTGAACCTTATCAGTGCACAAGGTCAAAGGTATGTCAATTGGTTCCAAGTTAGAAATGTTTGAGAGTGATGTTCAATGTTTTTTTCCACACAGCTTACTGGAAGCCTGCTTATAACCACTTCTTACGAAGCTTGCTTGGATTCTTCTCGTTATCCATGAAAGCGCGAGCGACAATGAGGTCGATCTGGGGGCGGAGCCGAAGGGGCGGAGCTTGTTTCTCTAGCGTTGAAGGTGCGAGATAGGTGTGAGATAGGTGCGAGAGAGGCGCGAAGCAACAATTGCCTCCGAAATGCGCACCTGGAGAAGCGGCAGGCCTTTGGAGGATCCTGCAACGCCGCCATATTCCTCTGGTCAGGAAAGTATTACAAGCAGTTACGGCTTACGAAGCAAAAATTGGCTTCCTTCGTCGCAATCGTCTTTCTGTCAAAGATCAAAAAACAAAAAAGTACTTGCTCGTAAGCTCATGCTCTTTTATATTAGGTCGTTCCGAAAGTTCTTTCCGTTTTTTCAACTTATCACAAAAATACGTGAAATGAAGATAGGGAAACGATTCATGTACTGTCCGACGCAGCTTTTCTTCCTCTTTTCAACTGTCATACTCCTGTGCGGCTTGCTCTTATGATCAGTGAGATAATGGCCGAAATTTCGAACCCATGGTTTTTACCATGTCCAGATTTGGCAATTTTTCACTATCTTCTTTTTTGCCTTTTGGAAAAGCTTTGATAGCAGTCGGATAAAGTAAACAAAGTGCAATTTTATGCAATTTTTCGGCATATATAGCTAGTCTCAAAACATTTTTAGAATTATTTTTCTGATGCTATCAAATTCCAGTTTTGGAAATGCCAAAAGCCACAGAACATAAAACGGCTCACAACTAAGCTGTTATTCGATGCATTTTTTCTCCTCTTTCTGATGAGTACTTTCGCTTATTAGTTTGTGGGGTCTTTGGCGATGAAATTTCCATAAATCTTGATTTTGAACCCGCCTCATGATGTGTCCGTGCAATGCAAAATCTTATATTTCGAAGCATAAAACGCTCAGTCACTTTGTAAAAATAGTGTACAATCATAAACGACTTTTGAAAGTTTCGAAAACCGAAGATTTGTTGATGTTCAGAGCGTTTGCGTGTTTTGTGACTTCGAAAAAGTGAAGACTTCTGAAAAAGTTATCCAAAAAAATAATGAGAAGCCGGCTGAAATTGCCAAAAAATTGCATCGCATTGCACTTTGTTCACTCTATCTGACTGCTATCAAAACTTCTCCAAAAGCTAAAAAAGAAGATAGTAAAAAATTGCCAAAGTTGGACATGGTAAAAACCATAGGTCCGAAATTTCGGCCATTATCTCACTGATCATAAGAGCAAGCGACATGGGAATATGACTGTTGAAAAGAGGAAGAAAAGCTGCGTCAGATAGTGCCTGAAGCGTTTTCCTGCCTTCATTCCACGTGTTTTTATGATAGGTTGAAAAAACGGAAAAAACTTTCGGAACAACCTAATATATAGATTGACGACTGCTGCCAATATGCCTCAAGGTGAAGTTGACATATGCTTTGACATTCTGAATAGCCAATCCCTTAACATGAGATTCACGTGGAATAAACCCGATGAAAATTGGCTAGCATTCCTAAACGTCCAAATGTTTTGATCTTACGGATCATACGTAACTAAATGATTACGCAAACAAGCTAGTGAGGCCATATTAATTCACTATCGTTCTAGGCAACCTTGGAGCATGAAACGTTCCGTGATAGGCAACATGTTCAAGACAGTGAAACCGGTTTCGTTCAACGTTGAACAGCGCAATGCATTGATGAACCTTGTCAAACAGATTGTATATTATAACGGCTATCCCGCAAAAGGTGCACCAATGCAACCTGTAGGCAAGGAAGCAGACCGATCGAAATGAACCAGACAATCAAAATAGCGTTTTGTGTTCTTGGTATCTGACGATTTTAGCACAGCTATCAGAAAATTTTTGTTTCAAGATGATTTTCTCGATGATACCGTCAAAGTTATAGCTATCCCTACTTCAAATCTCAAAAAACAACTAAGCCGCAATCGAGCGTATGACAGAATGTGCACGACCGCCAATTGTATCATCTGAGCTTTGGGAAACCAGGCGACTGCATGGAATTACGAGTGGTATATTTCATGAAATGTTAAAAATGCGGTGATCAATACATGGGAGAGACCGGCAGACCCTTGTGCACAAGAAAATCCAAGGGCATCTTGACGGCCTTAGAAAACCACAAATGTCCACATCTTTGGGTGCACATGGTGCACACAGGTTATGTCATGAGAACCATTATTTCTTAGTCACTGTTACGATTTTGTCGCACGAATCCGCGTTTATAGCCCTCATAACGTGGAGGCTTTTTGGATAACGTCTAAACCACCAAAAATGAACCGCAAAGATGAAAGCATTGCCATAAGCCTGTTCTACTATCAAACACTATGTGGATGCTAATACGAGATCTTCTATAACCATATAAAAAACATTGTTGACACTGACAATCATACTCACTCATAGCGCTGCAGCGCAGTACTGGTTGTTCTGTCTCTATATGCCGGTCTGACAAGACCGAAGTTAGGCTTTTAACATCTATTCTGCCACCATCACTAAGCTAAACTGAATCTATTGCCAAACAAGGCGTTTAAGCGGGCAGTTTTCGAAGTCTCGTTCCTTCAGGAAGTCCTGATGAAGGCGGACGAACCGCCGAAACGTTGACTTATCGCGTAATAAAGTCTTGCTATCAACCTTGGTCGACAGCTTAAAAACTGTATTACAAATGAATCACAATGTCAAGGTTTATCGACAATCACGCACAAAATCAATTTCCTTTGATTTGTCCAATTATTGCCTTCGCTTCCTGCACATGTTTAAGGACTTCCGGAACCTTTGCGGCAACGTCCGGAACCTTCTTGATCGCACCTCCTATCTTTTCTAGGATTTTTCTCAGAACGTCTTTGAATTTGCCGCATTCACCAACAGAGAGGATCTGTAAGCATTTTAAGGAGAAAAATCACAAACTAAGTGATGTCTTGCTTGATCAACATACCACTAAGATGGTAAGTAACAAGAAGGTAAGGTTGAAAATTCTCATTCTTGTCCAACTGACGTAATCTCTAGAAAAACCCCTTAAGAAAGTAAGCGGTACATAGAGCGTTTGATAAAACGGCAAACAGACGAAACTTCATTGGCATAACTTGACAGAGAAACAAATGAGGTATGGGACTATATGTCGCCAGAAATGGGAGATTCCGCCCGACATTTGCGACAATTACGCCTTATTAATACATGCACAGGCTGAGTATCGCTGCATTGTCCGCGCGAAATCCTCCCACTTCGCCACATAGTCCTCTACCCAAATAAATGATCTTCTGAGTGCAAGGGAATTACGAGTTTACAATAATCTTGATTTCTCTGCTATGTAATTTCTAGGCATTTGTAAGAGGCAATGTCGCAGATTATGTCAAAAATAAAACCTCAAAAAGTTGTGCACATTATGTACAACTCTGTCATCAACTATCTCGCTTGTTTAACTGTAAATTCATCAGCTTTCTTCTCTGAAACAAAAAATACCGTAATTGCCTTTTCAGAAAAGGAGTAGACAAAGCTTGCGTTTGGTCATGTTCTACCCAAAAGTTTTAGGTTGCTATTATCTTCTCTTAACGTTGCAAAGCTATAGACCATTGATTGGGCTTTTTTTGAGCCACAGCAGAACGTAGCGGACTTCTGTCAATTTTGGTTGGTCATGCTTATGCACAAAATGAGGAAATGAACGAAATGAAGAAGAGGCTGATCAGATAGTAATTGAAGGTTGGGGACTTTCTTATATTATCATAATCTTTTCAATCGAGATTCGTCCTTAAAAAGAGTACCTTGGCAGCAGTGCACAAACGTTTTGCCCTGACCCAAACCCATCTTCCTTATCTGCGATGCCGACTATGGGAAAACTATAATCAAAGGTCCAAATTTGGCAAACATTTAGCGCCACATCCTCATCCAAAAACTAGTTGTGCAAAAACATGTGTCTCCACTGAATGTAAGTATCCCTTGAAATCAGTACGCTAAACATCTTGCTAGTCATGCACTTCCAAGTTGGATCTTATAGCACACCATGCATTAAAGCTCCAGTGATTTTATGCACTTGGATGATTTATTTAACAATCTGCAACTCGCTGTTCGAGCCGTTATTAACGAGTGCCCAAGCAGGCGAGAGCGCCAATCCCGTGATTCACCAAACTTCAGAATGTGATCCGATCTGGCAAGTTTGGCATATCGGAAACAGCAGTAGGGAAGCAGAGCCTTTCTCGACAGGTCTTGCTCCACTGCCCGACTGCCGTGCCCGATCTGACCAAACTTGCCAGATCGGACCATATTCGCCAATAGAAGCAGCCCGATTACCAGCTTGGCTTCGTTTATCACTGGCGCCAGTGCCCGCGTTTGTACGGGCTGTCACCTGTACAGGAATTCCCTTCCTAGATAGGAGACTGATAAATACCATGACTGATCAATACTCAACGCAAAACGAACTGCGACATATATAACTGTTGTCATACATGGCAGAGTTGACAAAGAAGAACTCGCGGTAGAGGGTGAATAAGTTCACCAACGGGTTCAGATGTCTGCAAATGCTCCGCTTAACGTAAACCGGGGGACGATAGCAAGATTGATTGAAGTGTGCTGTAAAAATGCGAAAGTAAAACAAAAATTTTCTAACTGATTCAGTATTTGTGAGCATTTGCCATTTTCAACTGAAATGACTTTCTCTGTATTGCAGTTGCCAAATATCTCCAAGAGGATACGTAAAATTTCTACCATTGAATTTGTCCCACACATATGATACCCAAGTCTGCCGTATCTTCAATACACGAAAAATACCGTGAGTTGCAGAGACCATTTGAAGTGAGATGTACATGGTATAAACGCTTCGGTTAAAATATTAGGTTGGCCCGAAAATGTGTTAGCACCATTTTGAGAAATTTATAGCTTTTTACGCTTCAAAGCTTTTGCTTTCCCCAAAATTTGAACTCGTCTGAAAAGGATAATCATACGTTTTACAAAAGCATTTGAGGTACTTTCTAACTCGCAAACACAGCAGTGATAGATTACGAATAGAATTTGTAAGGTTGCCAGAAATGTGAACCAGGGCCGGGACGAAGGTAGCAAATATTCCTCTGTGAAGCGATTACGCCTATGGCTACTTGATTTAATGATTTTCCCTTTACATTAACTGCGCAGGCTATTTGATTAAAGTCCATTCTCAAAAGCCAAAACTTGTTTGTTCTTTTGGAATCTAGCAAAAGGGGGAGGAAAAGCTGAAGAAGAAGTCGCTCCAGTGATCACACAAGTGTCAAACTTCTTGCACTGCATACAAGGACTTTTGTACCCTGCAAGCTCTCAAAGTATTTACCTCAACTCTGCATGAAGCGAAGCTGCATTGCTCACTTTCAGATAATCGCCGGGGCAGGCGGCCGTGCGGTTTATAGGCAAGCTGGGACCGGTAAAATACTTCGCTGATTTATTGTGGTCCGCTTGCAGATATATGGAGGAATGTTGGCGAAAATTCAAACGAATTCTCGGAGAACAATCGCGGCCTTTTCATGAACTAGTTGCGGCGCAGTGGCTGCATTCTCGCGGACTTTCCGCGAGAATGTACAAACTGTTGAGAGCTGCACGGTCCTTTGTGAAGGACGGCACAGAGCGTAGGTGCTTTCCGCTGAGAGAAAGTACCCCAACTCGGGTATTTAGAACATCGGTGACACCTCCGCCATGTAGAGTGTTACCTTCCTCGGGGCCGAAACTGCTCAACAAGAGTCAGAGCGCTCGCTGAAAATTTGGCCGGCGCTTGCTGAAAGGAATAATTTGACGACCGCTTGCAGAAAATTCTGTATTGCTGCCTGCTGGCAGAACATACGACGGCAAAAGAATTACCCTCGCTGAAGGTTTGGCCACGCCCCAAAATTCTGCCGACTGCCTGCAAAAAAGCGCGAGTTTGCGGAAAGGCTGCCCCGGCGATTGACTGAGCTAGAGGACCGTAAAGTTCACAAATGAGGGCCTCTGTGCTGACCAAGAAACAAAGCAGTAGGATTGTGAAAAGAAAGAATTACATTGTTAATTTTGAAAATTATAGTATAAATGCAACTCTTCAAACAAAGGCTGTATTAAGATACCAGAAAAGGAAAAGTCCACATTTCTGTTTTACTTATCACATAATATCTTTTCTCAGCGTTGCATAAGCGGTTGCAAAATAGGGTTATGTTGTGTTAGCTGTAATGGCTTCTGCTGAGAGCTTACCGTGGCCTCGATGGGAATATTCGTGGAAGGCAAGCCCTACAACATTTGAAGCAAGAAATCGAGAGCTAAGACCGACACGGACACAAGTTCCTTTCTTACACTTATATAGCCCCGTAACAGTCATGTGCGAGTACTTCTATTGATCGCTTATATGTAATCAGCTTTGAAAGAATAGATAAGGAAAAATCCCCTACGGTTACTGTAACAAAAAAACATACTAATCCTTGAACGTTCGCAACTCGTGACTAATGTGTGTCCGTTGCTTGTGACCAAGGGTGTCGGATGACAATTTAACGATGCTTTCGAAGCTTTCAGATGACTTGCCGATCAATGTAGAAGAAGTCCTTTTAATCACATAACAATCATTAAATTACCCCAGCATTGCCATCAATCAAATTTTGCAGTGCTTAAAATTGAATGATATTTCTATAAAAATGGTACTCAAGATTATTTTTTACCTAAAAATTATGTCAAAGAAACGTATGTTTTCAAATGCAAGTATCGCCAATGCAAATACTTAGTTCGCTCAAGGCTTGATGAATGAACGCCTAAAACTCATTCCTCTCCAGAATTGGTTCTTTTTTTTTTGATAGCATGCTGCGAGTTTATGTCCAAACATGTAAATGCAAGCCCACGCTATAATTATCCTGTGCGATGCTTGTTTTGAAATCATACCAGAGGCGGTAAAAAATTTGGCTTTTTGCTCCACAAAAGCGAATGTTAGCTTCCTTTTGTATTCATAGTTTACATTTCTTTAAGGCCATTAAATTACATGCATTTATGTATGCTTCATGATTCGGAACTTCATTTTGCTCATCTTCATCCAAATATAATATTTGGTTATGGCAAACGTTTCTTCCTTCTTCAGCTAGATTTTTAGCCGATTATGTTTTCTGAAGTAAATCGCTGATTTTATGGCAATACTTTTATCCAGAGAAGCTAAGTGGTGCTTTTCAGTGACGCAAAAATCAATTATCAGATCATCTGTTTAGTGTCACTGAGGATCATTTACAGCAAGCTCCTTAGCAATTGCTAATAGATTGCATCAAAAATTTGCTTTGATGACGTCTTAGTCATTTTTGCTTCTATACTTACAGGACAAAATATCACATATATATATGTATACATATAAAATATTGTGAGCTGAAACCCTTTGCTACCAATTAAAAAGCAGCAATCGCATTGATTGGTTGTACTTTAATAGTCAGCTACATGACCTCAAAATTCCAAATGAAACAGTAAGCGCTGATTACTGTAAACTCATTTAGATGCATAGATGCAAGTACTTAAAAACTGTGGATAGGCGATGTGCATGTGCATTCTGTGCCGTAACTTCGCAATATGAATGCAGTACTTTACGCCTTTTTTTCTAATTTCTAAAGGCCGAAAAAGCTTGTCTCTTCAATGCTCGTCGTTACTATTCATGAAACTTGCTAATTATAAAGACCGTCGTATTCCGAATCACAAACTTTTTGATGTTTGTGGTGTACTTGAATAGTTATCACATTTAGCTGAAAATGCTACTGTAGTCGCACAGTGCCTTGACAGCTCACGGCAGTGCGCTATGATACGTTAGAATCTGTGAAAGTCTTGCCTTCCGTTCAAAATTCATTATAAGTTACAGTAGTGCAACATGAGAATCGTTAATTTCTTGCGAAGTGTTTGAAAACTGTTGTTCCTTACCACTTGTAACAACATGGCAACTGAATTTCGTACTTACAAAAATGATTTCTGTATTATATCATCCTGCTTTTTATAGTGGTAGGTACACAGGCTGTCATATGTGATATAAAACATTCTACAAAACTTGAAGCAGCACGCATTGCATCTCGCGTATTCAAGTTTGCTTATGCTCACGATAAAAGGCTGCACTTTAGCGATAACAAATAGTACTGTTTTCGGAGTTGTAGAAGGGACAGTGTGAATTGCGTGGAGACCGCTGGATTTGCATATACTCTAGATGCCGGTGAAGGAGCATTACTACATTTGTTTAAGAATGTGGGAATGAGAAGTAGATGTTTGAGAGCAATGTTGATGAGATGCCACAACGGATATAACAAGTATGTATAATGGAAAGATAGCAACCCTGAGGACCGCTTACACTCAGATAACCGCCGGGGGCAGGCGGCCATGCGAATTTTGAGCAAGCGCGCACCGGAAAAATATTTCGTTGATTTTTTGTGGCCCGCTTGCAGAAATTTGGAGGAAAGTTGGCGAAATCAAAGACGAATGCTTGAAGAACAATCGCGGTTTCTTTATGGATTAGCTGCGGCGCAGTGGCCGCATTCTCGCGGACTTTCCGCGAAAATATGCAAAAATTTCGAGGGCCGCACGGTCCTTTGTGGAGGACCGCGCAACCCCCAGGTACTTTCCGCTGAGAGAAAGTACCTCAAACTTGAGTAATTAAACCAACGGTGACACCTCTGCCACACAGAGTCTTACCTGCGCTCGACGTACGCCCGAAAATGCCTTAAAAGTGTCCGAGCGCTTGCTGAAAGTTTGGCCAGCGCTCGCTGAAAGAAATTATTTGCCGAGCGCTTGCAAAAAATGCTGTATTGCTGCCCTCTGGCAGAATATGCGACCGTAAAGGAAGTGCCGCCCGCTGAAGGTTTGGCGCGCCTGCAGAAAAGCGCGAGTTTGGGACCGCCTGCCCCCGGCGATTATCTGAGCAGTTGGTCAAGGCGAATTCATTTAAATGCAAAAGAAAAGCCACTCAAAAAGCCACTTGTAACAGCATGACGACTAAATTTCGTACTTACAAAAATGAGATTTCTGTATTATGTCATCCTTGCTTTTTACAGTGGCAGGCACACAAGCTGTCATATGTGATATAAAACATTCTACAAAACTTGCAGCACGCATTGCATCTCGCGATTCAATTTCGCTTGTACTCACGATAAAAGGCTGCAATTTAGCGATAACAAATACTACTGTTATCGGAGTTGTAGAACGGGACAATGTGAATTGCGTGGAGACCGCAGGATTTACATATGCTCTAGATGCCGGTGAAGGAGCATTACAATAATTGTTTAAGAATGTGGGAATGAAAAGTAGATGTTTTAGAGCAATGTTGATGAGATACCACAACGGATATAACAAGTATATTTATAACGGAAAGATAGCGACCCTGAGGGCCGCTTACAGTTGGTCAAGGCTAATTTATTTGAATGCAAAAGAATAGTCACTCAAATTAGGAGCTCATCTATTAGGTCGTTCCGAAAGTAATGTCGCTTTTTTCGAATGAACGCTACTATCCGTGGAATCAACATTTTCAAAAGAACTTAGAAGCATTCGATGCAGCATTTCATCCTCTCTCTAAAGGTTTTAATTTCGCTGCATAATGTTCAATGAACTCTCGAAAAATTACCAAAATCTGCGACTCATGCTTTTTGCCATGGTCAAGTTCGGCTATTTTTCTAAATTTTGTACCTAATCTCCGAAAAAGTACAAGTGGCAGGTAGATAGAGCAAACACTATAGAACATAGAGTAAATTTTTCTTTTCCATAGCTTGCTTCTCAGAGTTTCCACAATCAATTTCTCAAAGCCATCAAATTCCATATTTAGTCAAGTCAAACCTCACAGAACAATAACCGAGAAGCGACTCGGGTGTCATTCGATGCAGCTTTTTCTCCTCTTTCTAGAAGTTGTTTTTTTGTTTTCGATTCATCAAGCTTACAAGATAAAATCATCATAATTTAGGTTTTCCAAGGCGCCCCAAGGTGTACCCGAAATTTTCGAATGTTGCTAAAGCGAAGCGGTGAATGCTCGTTTTGTTTGTAAAATTGTTGCCAAACCATAATCCATCTTTCTAAGTTTCAAAACCCGAATACTTGTTGGCGTTTGATGCACTTGTGTCTGAGACGAGCCTGTCAAAATTCGGTGGTTCCATCGAAAAATCTGTACAAAAATTATGACGAGCTCTGGAAAGTAGAAAAAAGTTGTGCTGTTTCCTGTAGGGATTGCTCCATCCATCCATTACTTGGAATCCTTCTGAGGTTTGTTATGAAATTTTAGAAAAATTGTGAAACTTGGCCTTCTCAAAAAGCATGGGTCGCAGATTTTGATAATTTTTCGAAACGTTATTGGATTTTGTGCAATGATTATATAACCGTTAGAGAGAGAATGAAATGCTGCATCATATGCTATCAAAAACTCTTACACATCTGTGTTCCACGAAATGTGGCCTACGTTTGAAAAAAGCGACATTACTTTCTGAACGACCTAATATATACAGGGTGTCCGTAAAGTATGTATACACTGTTTGATCGTTAATATCTCTTTTCCCAAGAAGTTTTCGGCTTTGCTTCAGGTATCATTCTGTAGAGCTGGCTTCAACTTATATTTATAGTATAAAACGAGTTACCCATCTCTATTCATTACGGTAGGATTACGGTGGAAACTTGGAACCATATGGTGTCAATGTGGAAAAAGCTGCCCTTTCAAAATTTTTCAAAAAATGTGAAAACCTGTGCAATGGGGTTTTTACGGACGCTTAGATCAATACTCAACTATTCACAAGATTGCGAAGCTTTTTAAGCGGTGTAACCGCACTTTTTAGGAGCATTCAAAAAATGGCCACTACCTCCTACCTGGCATAACTCTTCAATGAAGCATCATAATAAGTTGGGAACTTTACAGTTAGAATCAACAACTCTAACTATCCTAGTATAAAAAGTTTTCAGGCTGTTTTTTTTCTGAGGCAAAATATGGCCTTTTACGGCTCAAAACCCTCTTCGAAGTTTCCACCGTAACCCTGCAGTAAGGAAGAGAGATGGATGATTCGCTCCATACTGTAAATCTAAGTTGAAGCCAGCTCTACAAAATGGTACCTGAAGCAAGGCAAAAACTTCTTGGGAAAAGAGTTATTAACAATCAAACAGTGTATACATACTTTACGGACACTCTGTATATATAAAACTCAAAAATTCTCAGTTTGGAGGGTATGCGCGTTATAGAAACGCGCACCGCTCAACCGATTCAGCTGAAACTTTGCACACATATGTTTTCGATCCCCTGCGCAGATGATAGGCTACTT